GGAAAGAGTTGGATAAGGCCTCCAGCTATGCCTGGCACACACCCAAATCAGCCGCCAGTCTCTTCCCAAGGGTTCCTGGAAGTCAACAGACCCATAAAGGGGATGTATTAAAGCTGAGATTAGAAGAATGGTCTACGAATTTGACATCATCCCTGATGCAACGCCTCAGTAAGTTCTCCAACACAGGCATACCTGCTATTTACCTCAGACATTTAGCTTCTTACTTCAATTAGGGGCTGAACACCCTCACCCTAGGGATATCTCAATGCAGGTCAAGGGAAAGCACAGTGGAGCTAATTCTTCTCCCTGAAACAGAGGCAAAGAACTGGGAGAGAAGAGGAGGTGGATGACAGGAATGCAGGGGGCAGGGCTGATAAAAAGGAAATCAGAGGGGCAAAAACTGGGCCTCTGAGGGAAGCCAGGATAGGAGGGGTTTAGGTAAACAAGGATTGCAGACATGGGGCTCAAAAGCCTAGTAACACCTCGAGGAAGATGACGGGGAGCTCTAACACTGAGAGGGCCAGGCAACGGGGAAAGGAGGGGACAGGGATGGGAAAGGAGAGCAAAGACTAAGAGGGCAAGGAAGGACGAAGGCACATGACAAGGATAATGAGGGGAAGAGAGAAGATCCCCAAGGAGACCCTGAGTAGAGGGCAATGGATCTGGAGACATCAAAGAAGAGATGAAGGGAAGAGGCGAGAGGCAAGGATGGGAAGTGGGAAAGAACCTCGAGCCTGAGAGCTGGCTCTCTGAACACAGAAGTGAGAGGAGACGGAGCCACGAGGCCCAAATGGGGTCACAGAGTCGGGTGGGCAAACCTGAGGTTCGAGCTCAAACAGCGATGAAGGTTGAAAGGGCTGGGAGGCACAGGGGCAGCGGGGTCGGACTCCAGGAGAGCAGCGGACCACTGCAGACTGGCCGGGGTCTGAGCGTCTGGAAGCGACAGTTGCTCGGTCCGCGGACCCCTGCTGCTCCCCCACCGCCCCACTCCCCTCCGGGCCTTGCGCCCCGGCCCTATGGGCCGTCTCAGCCCAGTCCCGCCGCTTCCCTCTGCTGCCCCGCCGCTTCCCCTTGCTGCTTGCCTACCTGTTTTCCCTGACCAGGGAAGACCTGTCCTGGCCGCCTCCCGCGCCACCACTGCCGTCCCGCAGGCTCCACAGGATCCTCCGGCTCCTGCCAAAACTTTTCCCATTAATCCCCAGCTCCGCAGCAGCCGCGGCGTCACACGCTGCGCGGCCCGCCCCGCCCCCGCCAGCGTGACGTCACCGCGCAAAACGGCTTTACCCCGCCCCAACTCTCCGCCCCCTTCCGCCCCTGCCGCGGCCAATCACCGCGCCTCCTGGGGACGCCTCTGATTCTGCCACTCCGCCCACCGCACGCTGCCCTAGGCCTGCCTGCGGCGCCCTCTGGTGCAGGATCCCGGCGCGGCAGCTGAGGGGAGGAGCTAGGAGGGAACGCTAGGGCCAGTAAAGCAAGTCTGGCAAGGCTCACAAAAGGGAATTTAAAGCTGGAAGGGAATTAGTACATCTAGTACAGTCTCCTCATCCTCCAGTGAAGAGGAGATGCGTGACTTGCTGTAAGAAGCAATAGAACCCTAGTTTTCAGACTCCAGATTCCACTGGAGGAGACTGTGCTGCTTGTAATTTTAATAAAAGGACTTTCTTCACTCGAGAGGCTTCTGCAATTAGAAATTTATGGTTTTGGACTTCTTACCTATCTTCCCATGTACTTATGTAATAAGTTTGCCCACCTAAAAATGGGGAGCATCCTCCCTGTTGTAGGAAATTCTATTCTTGCTTTCTTAAGCCAGTTCTTTAGGACCTGGAAGGGATCTGTTATCCCAACCTGTCCTTTCAGATATATCACAAAAAGGTACCTAGTATCTGAGAGGCAGTCTGGTGGAAGAAGCTGGGTTTGTCATCTGGCAATGAGCAAAACTTGACTCACTGGATCAGTGGGTAACTTCCTCCTCTCCACCATTTTTAAAGATTACCCCTCCCCTCTCATGCACACTTGTCAGGTCACACCCTCAGATACCTGGACGATATGATTTTTTTATCTTTTTGTTTCTTTTTTTTTCTACTTTTAAAAATGAATATGCATTACTTTTGTAATTCAAAAGTAAAAGGTCAAAACCTTCCCTAAGATTTCTGCAAATTTCTGGGGATTAATATTATCTTAAATCTCTCTGCTTTTGTGTCCCTGCTTCTTCAGGGCTGTTGTAGGATCATAGTTTAGAAATGTAGAGATGAAACTTTGCCCTTCCTGAGGACTGCCCACACCACTTCCTACACAAAACATTCATGGGTATAGAAATCATTATGATGCTCTGGGCCCTGGGGCAGAGTCAAGTATGCATTACAAAGAGTTTAAACTCACACAGTTGACATTCTTTAAAGTCCCTTTCATATTCCCAGTTGAGGTTTTCTAACTGGCCCTTTACCCCTTAGAGCTCGGCCTTTTTCCAAATCACTTACCTCTCCTCCCTGACCCACTATTCTCTCCTCTATCCCACTCTCTTTGGAGAAAAAAAAATTCCTCTGGCTTTCCAGACAGAAAGAAACATCTTAGCTGTATCTCTTCATTCCTGGATTCCCTGTCAATACTCATGCTCTAAAGATCTCCCTTTCTACCCCTAAGAGGGTTATTCCCCTAATAAAGAGCTCTCTCCCTAAAAGAAATTCTGGGAGCACTATTAAGATACTGTATTTTTCACCTAATTTCATTTTTATATCTAAAAGGATAGATATATTTAATATAATATAGTTAATAAATATATATTGTTTAGACCAACAATTCCATTATTCATTGCAATATTGTTTAAAACAATAACAAAAGAATTGGAGATAACCTAATTGTCCAACAACAGAGAAGTGTTTAGATAAATTCTGCTGTATGCTCCTGATGGAATATTATGCAGCTATTAAAAATGATGCCTACAGATTTGGTAAAAAAGTGGAAAATGTTATGATTTGATATTTGGAATGCAATGATATGTATAGCATATACAGATATGTATACTGTTTAGAAAACAAAAATTAGCATAGAAAAAACTGGAAGGAAACAGCAGTTGTGTTTGGGTTGTGGTTCTGTGAGTTTTTATCTTTCTATATTTTTATTCTGAGCATAGTTTTTTTTTTGTTCGTAATGAAAACATGATTTGTTTTTTAAGAACAAAAAAAAAGTCTTCCTTATGTTGAACAAAAATATCTATCCTGTTGTTGCTCCTACCCAATAGTCTTAGTTCCAGCCCTTGGAGGTAAACTAAGTCAAATTGTTTTCTGCATAACGGCCTGTCTGAAGTTTGACCCCATTTTCCTACATTGTTTCTTCTTCAAGCTACAACATCCCTCATTACTCATATAAAATGATCCTGGTGCCTTTTGCCACCCAGATTGATGGCCTCAGAATGTGCCGTTTTATGGCTTTCCTTGGTTTTGGCCACTTAACTTCTGAATCACATTCCCATATGGGGAATCTCTCACTTTAGACTCTTCTTCCACTTTAGAAGCTGAAAATTAACAGCTTCCAGCCTCCTCTGCAGCTTGAGCTTAGTCACATGACTAAGGCTTCCCCAATTAGATGCACTGGAAGCTGAGAAGATGAAGAACTGGGGAGCGTACATAATCCCTTCAGGTAGAGCAGCAGCTCCACATAATTTCCAGTTGTAAGAAGCAGCAGTTGTAAGAGCAGCAACCAGCACTGGTGTTATTCGCCATGGAAGCAGCAGCATCCATAACCAGAGGTAGCAGCTGGGGTGTCTTCATAAGAACTGTTGTGTGCCATGATTTGAGGTATTGTTCCTCACTATACAGTCTCCAAACTGGCTCTTTCATTCCCTCAATTATTTAAGGAGTTTCTCTATACTCTATCAATAAATTCCATTTTTACTTAAATCAGTTTCTGTTACTTGAATCACAAATCCAGACCACTACAGCTTTCCTGAACCCTCAGTTTGCCTGGATTTGCCACAAGCACAGCCTAAAGTGGGAAAAGTTGGTCCCTACCAAGACTCTGCAACAATTTCCAGACCCGCCAGAGATCTCAGCTATGAAAACCTGCTCTGATGCCCAATTACAATATAACTGAATGATATCTTACAATGTGGAGTAAGAAGGGTAGATTCTGATCCCCTCCACAGCTATTTCAGGCTCTAACCAGTAGATGGAGGCTTCCTTAGCTTTAGCCTTGGCATTCTCCCAACCCCTCTCACCTACGGCAGGGGCCAGAGAAGCAACTTTCAGCTGGCACCTCTTCGGGCTGGGCAGACATTATGCTTAAGAAGGAGGCTTTTTGCATATCCTGGCAAAAGTCTGAAACAAGCCTCTTGCTCTCCAGCCAGTCACACCTCCTCACATACAAGCCACAGAGGGATGACCTGGGACCAGAATGGCTGTGCTTTCCAGGTGGCCTCAAGTTTATGGGTATCTCTGAGGACATCAGAGATTGTATATACTCTGCTTTGTCCAGGATGTTGGAAAGGACAGAAGAGTTATTTTCTAATCCTGAAATTAAAAAACTGAGAAATATCCTCTCCTGCCTCCTAGTACTGCCCCCAAGATTGACAGTCCCAGTGTGGATTGCATTCAGACATCAGGGTGATCTTTATTTCACTATCATACACTTCAACCATCTGTGCCTCCCTGTGTCCCATCATAGAATATTCAAAAGCCTGGAATGGAGGAGGAAACTGAGGCTTAGAGTTTGGCTTGCCACCTTAAACCTAAACTCTACCTAGCTTCCAAGGATGTCTATAGTCAGGCGTCATTCTGCCTTTCTAGTTATAGGTCCTTTATAGTAGTATCTTCAAAAATTTTTGCCCTTATATTCCCAAAAGAATATATGAGAACTACGTAGTTCCTTCACTTTTTTAAGGTGAAATCTAATATTTCCCATCATTAGTTTAAAACAGTAGTTGCAGAGGATGGATGTAACTTCTATTTAATAAATATTGACATTTTAATATAAAACTGCTATATTATCCTTTTAAATGTATTGACTCAGATCCCATAGTGATCTGATGTTCACCATTATCCATTTTAAAAATACATGAACAAACCTTTCTTTAGCAATAGAAATTTACATTATCTCTTTTTCTCCTTGTACTGGTATTTCTATTCTACTTTCTCCTCGACAATCTAATTTTAATATAACATATTTTTATGCTTGAAAGTCTTTTATTGATCGCCATATCATATATCTCTGCAACCAAAATCTGTATATAAATTGAAATTAAAAATTTTTAAGGTTTCATGTAACTATAAAGCTCTGAGAGAAATTTTCTTCTGGTTTGAATAACCATTACAAATATTAGCAACACCTAGTTGAACAAAACAGTATAAATATTATGATTTTTATAAATGTTAAACATACATAAAAATACATTTCAAATATATTTCTTAATGAAATCCATAGCTAGTTTGTTCTCCCAAGTAGTTCATATGTTCATAGTAGAATATTACTTATTGTTAGAATGAGACTTCATTAATTCTAGTCCTATTTTTTCACTTTTAAGCTGAGAAACATTGTTCACATGATAAGTAGATGAGAATTTAGGGTTTTGATATAGCAATGGCATCTAATTCTGGGTCGTTTGCAAAAAAAAAAAAAAACCCACAGAGATCTATTTTTAAAATATTGTTAATGATTCTTTAGCTGACAATGCAATTAAGTCCTTCCAGATTTTGAAAATAAAAATTGAAAAACCTCCTGACTTGAAAACAAAAAGAATTTGTTGTCTAGTTTTTGAGCCATTCACTTTCTCAGCATCCACAGTCCTATACTAACATTTCAAACTGTTGCTTTGTTTAGTGTTCCAGGAATTTTACCCTTTTGGGTAATCCGCTATTGAAATAGTTAATCCTCATATGACACAAAAAGTTATGTACTACTATTATCCCTATTTTACTAACATGGAAACTGAAGCACAGATGGTTACAGCAACTTGGCAAAAATCACCCAGTTAGTAAGTGGCAGAGTGTGTTTTCCTAGCCACTGCACTGTATACCTTATTCCTTCTGGAACTGATAACTGGACTTGAGGGAAGGACGAAGAGAAGAAATGGCAGGAGAGATGGACAGCAGACCTGATCAATAATTCACTCCAACAGCAGTTTTTATTTGGAAATGTGCCTCCATAACTTAGTGGCAGTTGGGGGGCATATGGCCCCTGGCTTGCTTGTTTATTCTTTTCCAGCCCAGGGAATAAGGTCCTTGGGGTTAAGGCACAGGGGTCAAG